TGGGTGTTGGGTGGTACAGAAATTATAGGGTTGCTATACACAACATACATGTTGCCCAAGTGGTAAATAAGCAGGTAATAGAGAATAACTAGAGTTCCAGGGATTCACCTGTCTTGAAGATGCACAACCAGAGGCAAAAAAAACTAAAATCTGAAGAGACCAGAAATACGATGCAAACAAAATTTCCAGAACATAATTTGGAATTGTTCACATGCCAGCCTGCAAGATATCCTTTAAAGAGCATTGCAACTGGGATGCTAAAGACATTACCAAATGCAAATTTAGTGAGATATAACCTGAAAATCACTTTTAGGTGTTCAAGAACATTATAGCAAACAAGGTGGCTTACTTTCACAAACCAATCTGTCAATATGACTTGAGCAAGATCCAAGAAGTGTGATGCATTGCATGGGATAAACAATCCTTTTGTGAGCAAAAAATTACAGTACATACAAGGTAACAACTGAATAGCTCTGACTGGACATAAAAAAAAACTTTCTTTAGAATAAGAATCAGGATGAGACAGAAGGTGAAAAATAATGGTTACCTTCTCTCATGGTTCAAGTTTAAGTAGGTAGCTGTGAATTGGATACAAGTTTAATCCTCTCACCACTGACATCTTTTTATGCACATGTCATGAGTTATATTCAAAATTTAATTAAACTACTTTCTTATCATGGTATAAGAATAAATTTGGCATACAAATGTAGCTAATAGTCCAAATTTTAATAGTATACAAATTTTATGTTTTTTATCTTCTAAATTTAAGAACTAAATCATTGAGAATGATATTAGCACCCTCCAGCAAGATAATTAGTTCAATATTTAAAATAGAACACATCTGAGAAAGAGATAAATAAGACCAGCAAAAGCTTCTTTGGATTTAGGGCTAGCAGAAAAATTTTGTTCTTCACACAGTGAAGGTGAATAATTCTAAACATAAAAATGTTTCTTATCGTCATCATCATGAGAAAATGGCAGATATTTAATGACTGAGTGTCCACAGTAATGTGAAACCCACCACAGACACCTGCAGGCAAAAACGGAAATAACAGTCTGACTCTGATGATATTAAAACAAATCAACAAAACAATAATGAGATGCATGAAAACAACTCAAGAAAAGGCTTTTGATATCTCAAAGATAAGCCTACCTGTTCTGAACCTAACTGTTACACTTTACTGTGGTGGGAAACTACTGTTTGGCTTTACTGTATGTGTATATGTATATTGTTGCGTATCTGCTTGTTTGTTAATTTCCGGTACCAATTCTTTCCAAGGAACTTCAGCGATACAAGTCCTTTCTTAACTAAAACTAGTTTATTCCTTCTGGATACAACTTTATAATACACAGAATTTCCAGAGTTAATATGTTTGCAATCTCGATAACAAAACACAGACTTTATATTATCATCACTACAGCTCGCTTGACTCAATTATCTGTCTCTATATCTGCTTATTTGCCAGGCTTATATACTAAAAAAGAAGGCACCTGGAACAGACTAGAGTTGCCAGGACAATTCAAGATCCTTCGAAAATCTCATGACGTGTTACCAGCATCACGTGACT